GCAGTGATATACTGATGGCAATGATTGTGATATAGTTGTGTAATTGCCCGCCGGGACTGTCGGGCGTATTCATCAATACCTGTCCGCCCACGTATGTGCCCAATGGACTCCCTTAACACGTGATCGCAATTATGGTATATAAATTTTAACATTAATAATAAATTATCAACAAAATTAACCATGTTTGAAGTTTATAAGTTTTCGTCAAAATTAATTATTTAATTACACAATCATTGATGTTCATAAGAAACTGATTTATTAAGTAATTTTAATTAACATTATGTTCACTTAATTAAATAGACAGTTGATTTTTAATGACAATTTACTGTGTATTTAGTATACATTGCGATTTACAGTACATTGGTAATAATAAGTCTATGGGTGAAATTATCATTAAAACCCAATAAATATCAACAATAATATTAGAAAATTTTCAAAATACAATAAGGTAAAATAACAATAAAAAATAATATTGATTTAACAATGCTTTAAAAAATAAAATTTTAAAATACAATAATTAAACGCAATGTAAAGACTATATATTCTTTGATTGTCACCTGAATTGTGGTTAACGTATAGCATCGGCGATGCTGCATCGCTCTGTGTGAACCTTGTTTATTTTTGCAACATTTGTTTGCATATGATTTAGTTTTATAGTAGAATTGAAAAAATTAGAATATTATAATCTCTACATTTAAGTAAAGAATATTTTTAACCACAATTCAGATATGAATAATGTGGTTTATAGGATCGTTCGGCCCCCTCCCACCTCTCTATGGGATTACAGCTTAAGTCCATGACATAGGATTAACATGGGAGAGCTCTCATAGGATTAACATAGGAAAGCTTTAACATGTGTTTCTATGGGATTACAGCTTAAGCCTATGACATAGGTTAAAGATAGGTAAAGCTGAGTCTATGACAATGCTAATCCTATGAATAATGTTAAGTCTATGGGAGTAATGAAAACATGCAAATATGTAGTTGATTCTGATCATATGGACAATGATAATTCTATGGGACTAATGCTTTATAGTAGTTTTCTATGAGATAACCGAATAAATATCAACAATCATATTAGAAAATTTTAAAAATACGAACAATAAAGTAAAATAACCATTTAAAATTTTAACAAATGATATTATTTAACAATACTTTAAAAACTAAATTTTCAAAATAGAATTATTAAACGCAATATGTAAAGACTATCTAAACTATTAATATCTATTCTTTGAGCATTATTCGAATAGTGGTTAACGTATAGCATCGCTGTGTGTGAGTAATACCCCAATTGTGGTTAACGTATAGCATCGCTGTGTGTGAGTAATACCCCAATTGTGGTTAACGTATAGCATCGCTGTGTGTGAGTAATACCCCAATTGTGGTTAACGTATAGCATCGCTGTGTG